TGATACACCTGTATGATACACCTGTATGATACACATGTATGATATACCTGTATGATCCTCCTTTGTTATCATTGAGAAATGATACAACTGTATGATATACCTGTATGATATTCCTGTATGATACACCTGTATGATACACCTTTATGATATTCCTGTATGATACACCTGTATTATATATCTGTATGATATTCCTATATGATACTTCCTTGTGATCTTTGTGATATGATACACCTGTATGATACACCTGTATGATATACCTCTGTGATCCTTGTGATATGATACACCTATATGATACACCTATATGATATACCTGTATGATATACCTGTATGGTATTCCTCTTTGATCCTTGTGATATGATACACCTGTAGGATACACCTGTATGATACTCCTCCGTGATCCTTGTGGTATGATACACCTGTATGATGCTCCTCTGTGATCCTTGTGATATGATACACCTGTAGGATACACCTGTATGATGCTCCTCTGTGATCCTTGTGGTATGATACACCTGTATGATACTCCTCTGTGATCCTTGTGATAGACCTATATATGATACACCTGTATGATACACCTATATGATACTCCTCTGTGATCCTTGTGATACACCTATATGATACACCTGTACTGGTATTAAGACAGGTGTATTATACAAGTTAATCATGCAAATCTAACAAACAGGTATAGGAAAAAGATGTATTGAAGTCCAAGTTCAAGTTCTTTATTAAGCCTTAAACATTATGCTTATCAGCTAATCAATCCAATTACATAATATGTCATGGCGTACACTATTCAGTACTAAGAGAATGCTGTATACAAAGACACATGTACATATAATCATTAGACCATGTAGTATTATAACTATTACATACAATCAGGTAGACATCATCTCTTGAGCTTATTTTTTTTTTGCTTCATGTATAGACTTACATAAATGTTTCAATTCCTTGTTGTTCTGTACACTTAATAACAGAGTGAAAACTGATGGCTCACCCCAGTAATACTTCTGACTGAATTTGATTTGGTTTTGTTTTGTTTGGTTTAGTACTGTTTTAACGTTCTATCAACAGCTATGGTCATTTAAGGACGGCCTCCCCTGTGTGCAAGATGCATACGTGTAGTGTATGCGTGTGTGTTTTGGGAGGCTGCGATATGTTCGTGTTTTTCTCCTTGTGATAGCGCGAAACTGATGCCGACTTTATAGTGCTACCTCACTGAAACATATTGCCGAAGACACCCAGAATTTGACTCTTATTATTTGATGTATAGGACCTATTAGTAAAACGTAGTATTCACCCTCAATGTGAAGACATTCGTAATTTTGAGAATAAAATTCTCGATTTCTTTTTGTATTTATTCAGTTAAGTAAAACTGTGAACAAAAATTATCATCAGTGTTACTTTATAAAAAGGATTTTGGACTAGTATTCACAAAACCCTTTCAAGTTTGATCAAAAGTTCTTTGTCTAAGCATGGATAATGCGGATTTTACATCAATAATATGCTGAACAATCCACAAGCTACCTTGACCTAGGAAAACAAATTTTTGACAAAAGATATCCAATTATTTTTTAATTATGATTAGCATTCGCCAAATGAAGCAGTTCCGGATATGATACTTGCAGTATACAGTTATTTGTGTTTAAACCAATATTTGAAAATACGTAACAATATCATACATGTGTGTCATACCGGTATACCAAACGGATGCAACACAGGTGTGCCCTACAGGTGTATACTTCAGGTGTGTCCTACAGGTATACTACAGGTGTGTCCTACAGGTGTATACTACAGGTGTGTCCTACATGTTTAATACAGGTGTGTCCTACAGGTATAATACAGGTGTGTCCTACAGGTGTATACTACAAGTGTGTCCTACAGGTATAATACATGTGTATCATACAACTGTGTTAAATGCGTCATTGAAATTTGGTATCAAAATATGTTCATACATGAAATTTTCAAAATGCTTTAAAAGGGGATTTCTGGATATATTGAGGATTATAGCCATTTTTAATTTTTGGGCGTTACGAGAAGTCTTTCATCCGTTGGTTAAATTAAATGTGATCATCAACATTTTCCTACATTTAATTATCATCTCTTAGTTTCCATGTTTCCAAGTAGAAGGTAGGGGGTGATATGTACTAGTATATGCAAAATATAACGGTCAAAAGTCCGTGGAATCTCTACCTAAGCAGAACGTGTTTCCAATGTAAGCAACCGAAGGATATTGTGACCATGTCCTTTTGGTTCTATTTCTTTTCATAATTTTATCATATCACTCACAAGATGCCATATTTGTCTTCGTTTAAGAATGTTCCATTTGTAATTTCATCACATTTCTTCGAAAACTAAAGTGATAAATAACATGTTAAAAAGTAAGCCAATCTTGAATATCTGTGGAAATCAAAATTATATAGTTTGCATTTAAATCATAGGATATGCGAATTTTTAGTTTTGTCGTTTTTAAGATAACTAATTCATTTTAATATATTGGTTCATAACCAATTTGGTTGAATGTTTATCTATTTTTGTATATGACGTATTCTGGTTCAAAATTTAAATAATTTGAATGTTACGTTAAATTTAGAAATAATTGTGTTTGGCATTTCACAATTTTCCGTGCACCTTGAAACAAACAGTTTAAGATATGTGCAAACTTAAGTAAATCCAGCAAGAGATTTTGTGTTCAAATTATATTTACTATACTTGTTGCCACTCTTGTAATGCCATTGAAAATGTATATGGGGAGAAGGCGTTGATAATTTTTGATAACTTGTGTCTAATCCCTTGTCTGCTCTTGGCAATAAATATGTTTAAACTATGCAAAACGTTGTTTTTATTTTCAGTTGTGTCGTTTTTAGGATATCTAATTCATTTTTGAAATATTGGTTTTATCTATAACCAATTTGTTATTTAAAAAAGTTGAATTTGTATCTAATTTTTTGTATGACGTGCAGCAAAATATCTGTTTAACTGTTTATTAATGTATCTAATGGAATTCATGTAATTGTGATTTGTGTAAAAACTAATATGAGAAATAAACAGTCTTTCTGAGGATAAGAAAGGGCTGTAGGAAAGGAAGTACGTGAACGATTTGTATTAAAACGATAATAAAATCACATAAAAATCCTGCAGTAACGATTAATAAACAAACCCAACACAGGTCATAAAATGTACAAATATTTATTGTAACTGCCGTTTTTAGTTCGACACAACTGTCTCTCTAGCATGTCACCACAGCCATGACACATAAACAGGGACAGAGTTTACAACCCTGCCATAGTAACGCCGTCAACTGGAACTGAGACCTGCATACAAATTGAGTTCCAGTCTGAACTGTAGGCAGACTACTACAGGGAACACGATTGTCTCCCTTTTATTTTATCATGAAAATAAAACAAATGAAGAAAAGTTGCAAAAATCAAGCTTTTACTGCTTTCACAATTGCGATAATTAAGTTTCGAAAAGAGCTGTAACTTTTTGTTGAAATACGATTCCAGATCGTATATAAAAAAAAGGGAATGCGTATACCCCAAAAAGCCTTCAGGTACATGTCTTCAATTTTAAGTCTCCATTTGCAAAAATGGGTCAAATATGTAATTTGATTAGTCAAACTCATAGTAAGCAAAGTTTTAATAAAGTCATCAAGAATTTGATAGCTTAAGCCGGAAAATAATAGCAAATAACACATTTCCAAATCTAAATTTTATCACCTCCCCCTCCCCTCCCTTTTCTGAAGGTAACGTTCTTTAGGAGAAGGAACAATATCATTTCTATTTAAAAAAATAATAATGTTTTAGTGAATCTGCAAACAGCTGAAAAATACAGAACTTTAGTTTAAGTCATGCAATCAAAAAGGTAATAAAAATAAAATTAAAAAGTTCATGTTAAGTCGCGCTCACATTCCAATTAAGAAATGTCCAAAATTCTGACAAGTTAAATGTGTAACCGATAAACGATGACATTGGCGAAACATTTGTATCCCAGTCAGCCACCCTCAGCACTAGTATAACTAGCGATATACACCTGTCAATCCAGAGTCATAATGCACTCAGTTTGAAACATGCCATCATCAACTAATGCCTCAAAAAAGATGTGCACGACAATTTAAATCCACACAGATCTGACGTATTAATATTCAACTAACTCAAATGATTATTTACTGCATCAAAAAACTCTCTGACAAATGATCATGAAAAGTGAAGGGAAGTAACTCGAATATCGAATTCAGAATTACGTCCCTTTGACCGGTCAAATGATGAGGCATAACATGAAAATTGAATTTGAACTTGAGCAACGTTAAATTTTAACGATAACGGTACATACACAAAAACAAATTGACAAAAAAACGTTAAAGAAAGCGAGCAGTTCAGAAACATGAATAAAATACATAATCTAAATGATTTGTCGATAGCCTAATTGCACTTAACATGGAACAAAACATCTTTACAGCAAAATACAACGCACTTTTTTTTTATTGTTATAACAAGATTCAAATTCCATATTATTTTTGTCAGATTTTAAAAATACAACAATAACAAAAACAATAACAAAACTAGCACTATTTGAAGAAGCCTGCAAGGGTTCATTATGTAAGGTATGTCCAATGCAAAGTTATGCAATTTTCAAGATATGCATATAATTAATACTTATGATGAGCACTGTCAACCGTTCAGCCATATCTGGTAAGTATGTTCAAGAAATGTTTTCGCCTCTTAAGGTGATATATAATGTAACAACTGTTCAGTATATTTAACTTCTGATCAGCGTAATGACTTTCATATTTAAATCAAATGCTCTATAGCTAATGCTAGACTTCCAAGATTTTCACGATTTTCCTATATACCACGATGTCTTGATAACATTTTACCATTTTTTGTCTGTAAAGTCCTGCACAGTTAGACCTCGTAAATCCAGACACTTTGCAAAAAAATAAAAAAATAAAATAAAAAAAATAACGTTACGAAAGCTACGAATGCATTTGTCACTTCACTTCCAGAGTTAATGGTTAATTTTGTATAGCTGTCTGTAACATAAATTACAAACAGGTTAATGTAATTGTATAATCCATTTTGAAAATATCAAGTCATTTAATTCATCAAATCATGTGTATAAAGTTCACAACATCACTCACCATAATTATCAATGCATGCTGACCAAACGAAGGGAGATAACTGATACCAGATCCATAATAAAACTATTTTTTTTGTATGATTATTGCTGACTTAATTATTCTGGCTTTACTTTGTTATACGAGTCTGGATTATCGAGATTCTATTGTACATACTCTTTGAGACGCCCACTTAGGCGTAACTGTTAATTGAAATGCATAATTGAGGCGATATTAAGGAGACTTTCATATATATATATATATAGTTGACTGATTCCGTGATGTCGATTTCAGCACTAGATTCACCGAAGAAGCTTGTGGATGCTCTGTACACAATCCGTTGTAAATGTATCGAAGATTGGCCCAAAGAGATGACAACTGGTAAACAGTCCATGCCATTGTCACCGCCATGTCATCTGTGAAAAGCCATGTAATTGTTTTAGAGATTAACTCTGCACGACGCCAATTGATCAACAATCAAATTGGGCAAAAATCCATGTATTATGATCTAAAAATATATATATTTGATAATGAATGATTTTATATCATGATGAATCTTCCTTTTTCAAATGTGACGACACACCGTTTTCTGATAATGCCTTTTTTGTAACTATTTGAACACTTTCTACACTTTCCCCGTTTGGTGATCGACCGCCATTTTTACCGGTGTTGACGGGAGATAAGTCTGTGAGAGTTGGGGAATCTGGGGGAGAGTTTTGGGATTCCGATTTCGTCGAAGACGAATCGGACGGTAAAGGTCTAGGTCGACGTTTCGCTTCATCCTTTTTCCATTTCATTCGACGATTCTGAAACCAGATTTTTATATGTCTCTCCGTCAAATTCAACATGGCGGCCAATTCTATCCGCCTCGGTCTGGAAATGTACTTGTTGAAGTGGAATTCCTTCTCGAGCTCAAGCAGCTGACCACGTGTGTAGGCTGTACGTGTCCGTTTGTTGTCATCTTCAATAGGAAACTGGGCACCTGTCGAGTACAAATAAAATTAATATGAAAATCAACAATATGCAATGATATAGATATAAAAAAACCGACACAACAATAGGTACAGTAAAATTTCTTCAACAAGATCAATCAGTTTTGAAATATGTAATATTGACCGACAGGTTCCTTTGTCAAGCCATGTCTGAGTAGGTTTCAAGTTCCTATAACTGACATTGCGATTCATTGATTGATGGGTTTAACATCCTTGTTGCGATTATAACCAATTCTATCAAATTTACCCACGAGGAGGAGAAGGACGGATCTATTCCATTCTTTGACACGCTCATCGTCCAGAAAGAAAATTGCGCCTTCAAGCAATGTTCCAGGCAGTGTCAAGCAATCGACAAACCTCGGGTGACTCCGCTACGCTCCATCATAACTGTTCGAGGAACGAGTCACCCGAGGAGTTCCGAGTGCAGTGTCAGTGGAATTCAACGTTACTAATTCAACGTCATCATTATGACGACGTCAGCTATCGGGCATGCTAATCATAGCTGATATGAGAATCTGAATTTGGCAATTCCGAATTAAGAATTGAAATATTTATTCTGAAAATGTACGATGGTATGAAACCCATATGCTTATAAACATATCCCAAGATGCACTGTTTGTGTTATGCTTTAACAGCATTTTTTTGAGTTTGTACGTTTAATAAACGACTGTAATCACAGTCCAAATAACATCTTATTCAGTAGGGACTTAAATTACCTCCCATTGTATATCATAGGCATATCCTTCATGAGTATATCATATATATCATACTTGTATCCGGCTTGTGAAATATGTAAAAGTCGTAAACTGCATCATTAATATCAGACAAAGCTACTACATGTAAATATTTAATCGTGTATCGTGGAGATGATCTTTTGCATTATCCACGTTGCATATGATCGGTAAGTATATATAATATTTCTGAATTAATTCAATAAAAAAGCACAATGGATCGACGTAAAAAAAATCTCAGTCGTGAAAAGTGAACGTTCTACACTTGCTTGGTATAAGACGGTATTTTAGATCAATATCACTCGCACGACCTTTTCAACCTGCAAAGTTCATCATAGTGATTTTAATTTGATTTAATTGGAATGATACGATAAAGAACTAGTTATGATGTACAAAACAGACAACTGTTGTAATTAAAGACTTAAACAAAATGTTTAGAAACTAAAGCCTTAAGTTTGTATTCTTGTATGACGTTATATAGGTATCATAAAGGGATTTGGCGATGGTTCGAGGGAGACATGTAAATCACATTGTTAAGAGAATAGGAAAATGGCGTGGAAATATGTTGGATCGAAGCGAGGTGGCTATATAATGAAAACAAGAGGGACATCGTATCGAGGTTTTTTTCTAGTTCAAGGGAGAATAATCCTGATAGCTATTAGTCAACATGTGGGACCGATCTTAGAAGAAACCTCCTATACAAAATATATGGCCATGGTACATGTATATTGGTAAAATAATTTAACTGGATTTTTTTTTGCAATATCAAAAACCCTGAAAGTACTTTAAGCATCTCAAAAACTAAATATGTCCCTAAAATTCATACCATTGCAAATGTTCAACCAGTCAGATTCGTTCCCCATCTCCCACCCCTCCGCCACCCCCCAACACTCACACATACACACGCCTCCCCTTTTTTTGTTACAAAGAGGTAAGCGTGATCTTGCCATTAAGTTATGAAGTCCCATATATAAACCGAAGTGGTATGCAGAACGCAACTGTATTTATTGTAGATTTCTATAAGAGTTTCGACAGTCCCGCAGTATTTGTTCCAAACAAAAAGTGGCCAGATGGAAAGCTGAAACAGATTTTGTTTACGAAAATATGTCTCTCTAAACAGAGGTTGGATATTGGGTATCTGCAATAGTAGTGGCTGGATAACCGAGGCTTGATAGGGGGACGACCGGATAATTGGTGGCTGTATTACCGAGGCTTGATAGGGGGACGACCGGATAAGTGGTGGCTGGATTATCGAGGCTCGATAGGGGGATGACCGGATAAGTGGTGGCTGGATTATCGAGGCTCGATAGGGGGATGACCGGATAAGTGGTGGCTGGATTACCGTGGCTTGATAGGGGGATGACCGGATAAGTGGTGGCTTGATTAAGGAAACTGGGTACTGAGACAACCGGATTTGTGTCCGTTGGATAAACGATGCTGGAAAGTGAGACAACCGGATTAGTGGCGACTGGATAGTAAGATAACCGGATTAGTGGTGACTGGATAGTGGAATAACCAGATTAGTGGTGACTGGATAGTGGGATAACCAGATTAGTGGTGGCTGGATAGTGGAATATCCAGATAAGTTGTGATTGGATAGTGGAATAACCGGATTAGTGGTGACTGGATAGTGGGATACGGAATAAGTGGTGGGGTGATAGTGGGATAACCGGATTAGTTGTGGGTTGTTAGTGGGATAACCGGATTAGTTGTGGGGTGATAGTGGAATAGCAGGATTAGTGGTGGGATGATAGTGGGAAAACCGGATTAGTGGTGACTGGATAGTGGGATACCTGGATTAGTGGTGACTGGATAGTGGTATACTCGGATTAGTGGTGGGTTGATAGTGGAATATCCGGATTAGTAGTGATTGGATAGTGGAATAACCGGATTAGTGGTGACTGGCTTTTGGTATACTCGGATTAGTGGTGGGTTGATAGTGGAATATCCGGATTAGTAGTGATTGGATAGTGGAATAACCGGATTAGTGGTGACTGGCTAGTGGTATACTCGGATTAGTGGTCATTGGATAGTGGCATAACCGGATTAGTGGTCATTGGATAGTGGTATACTCGGATTAGTGGTGGGTTGATAGTGGAATATCCGGATTAGTAGTGATTGGATTAACAATGCTGGACAGTTCTAGCATAGACCCATATCTCAACATACTGATATCATTCTTTGTTAGTCTTCGTCTAGAGTGCCTGGTATGTAAGATTATCGACATGAAATGTCGACATAATGAATACATGCGATGTCGACATAACACTATATTATTACATTGCCGTGTACGTCAATTATTATATATGTATTATACAGGATATCTATGATAATATTAATACTGTGCCTAAGGTACATTTACTTTGAAGGGGCTGCTAATCGCTCAAATTTGATAATGTATATAACAAGTTGGTTAAACTAATTTTAAATATTATTACTGAATAAAAAAAACTTGAAATTCCTCAAGATACTTATTCAAATGTCACCATATTCGGCTGACATACATGACTCGTTGCCACCCGTTATCAGTGACACTGGACACATACGTTGGTCGTCAGCCGTCTGGTGTGGTGGTGTGAGCCAGAGATTAGAGTACAGGGTACCAGTCTGTCAGACTTGCCCGCCTCTCGACCCTTACCTCGGTCTCCAGGTAATTTGTAATGTGGAGACTGAAGCAGATCAGACCATCAGTTAGCATAGTAGCTACACGCGAGCCGAACTTCATAAGTATACCCATTTTATTATAAAAATAAACATATCAATATGCAGAACTCCCTAAGGTGGATATTTTTGCAGAAAATATTGAAGTAAAATATGGTTTAAATTTCCCTATGAGTGACCACTGCATTGAATACAGTGACTGACCAGGTTCTGATGTTAGGACAAATCAATCAAATCAAAATACAGCTGTAAATTAAGAGCAATTCCTTGATGATATCAAATAAAATATGTTTAAATTAAAACTTAACTAGATTGAGAGCAACATATCTTGTACGTAGGCATACCTTGGTCAAGGGGAGGCTACTCCGGTAGCCCTAACCGGTATTGGAGTAAAAGGATGGCGATGGTATACAATCGATCGGTCAACTTGGCGGTATTGCCCACTGACTCCGCCTATATATTGACAGTCAACATGTTATCAAAGTAATCATTGTCGTGTCCGGTCAGTGTTAGGACAGATAACAGCCAACTGACCACACATTGATACTGACCAACACTTTTTCGGTGATAACGTATCGACTTTGACCTGGTCGTACCGTAAATGTTATTCAGCCAAAAACCTGTGAAAGTCGTCATGTTTCCCAACATGGATACGTCGAAGTAATTGATCAATGCCCTAATAAGTAAACCGGGTAAGGGGTTGAGGTAGGGGTAGGGGTAATGGGTTGGTGCGGGGGTAAGGAGTATTGGGTAAGGGGTTGGGGCTGGGGTAAGGAGTATGGGGTAAGAGGTTGGGGCGTTGGTAAGGAGTATGGGGTAAGTGGTTGGGGTGCTTCGTCCGCCCAAATCATATTCTTGTCTAGGCTGTAACCTTAACAACGGTTATTCTTCCTTTAAGACTTTCTCTTACAAATTCGTCTTTTATACCTTCGATTCTTCGCAGTTGGAATTCATTGGACCTTTCATTACGATCATTGACTTCTTTAAATTCTTCAAAAACTCGTTAACTTCAAATGTACTATCTCCTCCACCAATTTACTTCGGTTTCGGTTAAAGTAAATTTAACGTTTTGCACACAAAACTTAGACATCGGTGTAGTCCACTTAAATATGATCTTTATATAGTAAATCTTGTTGATAGTCCAGTTTGTTATTGTGGCCATCCCTGTGAAAATGTTTTTCACTTTTTTTTGTGAGTGCATACTTTTAACAACGAAAGTCGCATCCTGCTCCAAAATTTAAATGCCTTGCATGTTGATTTTAATTTAGAACTATTTTTTTTTCGTTATGGTTTCTCAACTTTCGGTAGAAATCAATACAAGCAGTTTTAAACATGTGCATCATTACATCAAATCCAGCAAAAAGGTTTTGATAACTGTTATTAATTTTCCTTATTTTTATTTATGTCTGTACGTTGTTATATGTGTTTATGAAATTGCATTCCATTATTTTGTCTGATTTCTTTGTTGCATCGATTCTGTTAATTTTGAAATTACTTTACCAGTCTGCATGCCATGAAATTTGTATAATTTATAATTATATAATTAATTCGAATGCGGATCCTTTTCACAGTTTACACGATTTCTCTTCTAGGTAACA